ACGACTCCGCACGGGCTCTGCATCGAGCTTCTTAGGATCTGTCTCCCTCGAGTAAAAAATAAAAACAACTTCCATAAAAAGGAAATTTTATACGAAACTTTCACCGTATAAATTAAACCTACAACGGAAAAACGTTTTCTATAAACACGGGCATACTTGGCATATCAAGCTCGACAAAGGCTACTTGGCTATTGTCCGATCGCGCTTCACTTCAATGCCAAGTTTACAAACCGACTCGACCTTTTCGATAGCACGAAAGTGTCGCGGTCTAATCCTCTACCAAATACGACCTTGGCTTTTCGGCTGAACACAACCTTCGCGCCAAGCCAATACATTCAACGGATAATGCAAACTTGTCAAAAATCGGCTAAGTTCTGTATTCTCGCGATTCACTCTATTCCCAAAGCAAGTTGCCTACAAAATCCGATGTATAAGAAAACGCTCGTACCAGAGCTCCTAAAGCCGTACGAATCTCGGAAGGTCAACACTTCACAAAGCACCGTAACGAAAAACGCTTCATTCGGGGAAACAACTTACGCGACCTCTCGGTCCTAATTGCTCTAGCACAAATCATAAAACTACCTAAAATCCAAACAGGAATTTAAGTTTTAATTGCGAGTATCCGTAAACGAACCAAAGTATTCCTGCGAAGCAGGGTTAAGACAAAACCCTCGCAACACCGCGCAACATCTTCGAGCCCGCAAACGTTCCAAACACGAAACGCGGCATATAAAATAAAAACCAACTTTCGGCACTGCGAGACGTCGCAGACGCCCGGAGATTAGTTTTTCGACATAAATACCTTCCTTGATAAAGTCATTTTCTTGGAAGACCTAACAGTCCGTCCGCGACTATAAAATTACTCAAAACTTCTTAACGTTCGTATCCTTCGCGAAGGCCAAAACAACGTAAACATTTATCGCCTAAAAAGTTTGTTGCTGATCACAACAAACTCGCAACAGTCCTAAACAAACTTAAGTTATCTCGCAGAGATAGCTCTCGAACACCCGACACAAGGGTAATAGCGCTATAAAAGAAATCCAAACTTTTGGTCAGTACTTCCGGGCAACTTAGAAATTGTTCCCTGTGAGATGCTCGGTTCCAACCAGACAAAACGTATAAGCCGAGAACCTATCGCGGATTCTAAATCGGTATGGAATCAGGTTAAAATCGCAACAGGCAAACCTAGGTCTTGCCCTAAACCCAGCACACTGGTCGCTAACGTCTCAAGGCATGAATCGAGATCCTAAAGGCATGTCTCTTCGTCTATATCTAAACGCTTACTCGATTTACTAAACATCCTAAAACGGGCAAACGAACAAGGCGATACACTAAGGGAAAAAGGAATGTGAGACGACAACTCGCGGACCTCCCTCAATATCAACTCATAATCTTCCCGCTACATTCATACGAATAAAAACACGCTCTTAAAAACGCAAACTGATAAAGCCGCAAAAGCGGCAGGGACTCAGAGCCGCACACGGCCAGTCCAAAAAATATAACGGCCACGCTCGGCCAGACCAAACGGCCTACGAGACTAGTCTCAAGGCCGGCAAAGGTCAAGATGCCATCGACATCAATATGCTCGATAAAAATATAACTAGACCGTAAAGGTCTTGCTGGGAAAAAGGTCATACGAACCTTAACTCCGAAACAAACTACGAAAGGCTTGATCCCCTCAAAAGGGTACGTAGGCAGCCTTCACACGGCGCAGCCCTAATCTTAAACGCTTTCCGCTCCTGGAGAGTGGAAAGATCACTTGAAACGGACCTTTCCGACCATTAATTCCGCCTAACTTAACTAAACCTGGTTAACCACTCGCAAGAACCTTACGCTAAAGGCTCAAGATTCTTACGAGCTGGGGGGCTAACTGTTGGGGTCAAAATCGGTACGATGGAATCAACGACCGAAAATTCCCGCAGAAATATAAAAGGAATCGTTTTGTAAAACCCGAAGAATCATTTTATAAAACCCGAGGATCGTTTTATAAAACTCGAGGACCGTTTTATAAAACTCGAGAATCATTTTATAAAACTCGAGGATCGTTTTATAAAATTCGAGAATCGTTTTATAAAACTCAAAGAATCGTTTTATAAAACTCGAGAATCGTTTTATAAAACTCGAAGAATTGTTTTATAAAACTCGAGAATCGTTTTATAAAACTCGAGGATCATTTTATAAAACTCGAGAAGCCATTTTATAAAACTCGAAGATCGTTTTATTAAACTCGAGAAGCCGTTTTATAAAACTCGAAGATCGTTTTATAAAACTCGAGGGTCGTTTTATAAAACTCGAGAATCGTTTTATAAAACTCGAGGATCATTTTATAAATCTCGAGAAGCCGTTTTATANGTTTTATAAAACTCGAAGATCGTTTTATAAAACTCGAGAAGCCGTTTTATAAAACTCGAAGATCGTTTTATAAAACTCGAGAAGCCGTTTTATAAAACTCGAAGATCGTTTTATAAAACTCGAGAAGCCGTTTTATAAAACTCGAAGATCGTTTTATAAAACTCGAGAAGCCGTTTTATAAAACTCGAAGATCGTTTCATAAAACTCGAAGAATCGTTTTATAAAAATCGAGAATCGTATTATAAAACTCGAAGATCGTTTTATAAAACTCGAGAAGCCGTTTTATAAAACTCGAAGATCGTTTTATAAAACTCAAGAAGCCGTTTTATAAAACTCGAAGATCGTTTTATAAAACTCGAGAAGCCGTTTTATAAAACTCGAAGATCGTTTCATAAAACTCGAAGAATTGTTTTATAAAACTCGAGAATCGTTTTATAAAACTCGAAGAATCGTTTTATAAAACTCGAAGAATTGTTTTATAAAACTCGAGAATCGTTTTATAAAACTCGAAGAATCATTTTATAAAACTCGAGAATCGTTTTATAAAACTCGAAGAATCGTTTTATAAAACCCGAAGAATCGTTTTACAAAACTCGAGAATCCTTTTATAAAACTCGAAGAATCGTTTTATAAAACTCGAAGAATCATTTTACGAAACCGCAAAAAACCGAAAAGGCCGTAAAACGCGAACTAGTCACGACTAGTTCGCCCACGGGCGAACTAAGCCGAGCCGGCTTAGTTCGCCGATGGGCGAACTAGGAGGCACTCGACTAGTTCGCCCATCGGCGAACTAAGCTTGCCCGGCTTATTTCGCCGATGGGCGAACTAGGAGGCACTCTACTAGTTCGCCCATCGGCGAACTAAGCCGGGCCATCTCGACTAGTTCGCCCATTGGCGAACTAGTCCTGTCCCGGCTAGATCGCCATTGGGCGAACTAAGAGGTGCTGACTTTGCCCCACTGGTTCTTTTCGCCTAGTTCGCCATATGGCGACCTAGCCAAGCTGAACTAGCTCGCCATACGTCGAGCCGACCATCCCGAGCCTCGATCTCCCACATCCTTGATTCAAGGCATACGTCCTTCGACACGATCGTAATCCGAATCACGGTCGAAATGTCTCCCGTTTCGTCTTGATCCGTCCTATCGTTCGAGTTTAACGATAAAAACCGTAAAACTTCGTTTTCCCGAAAAGAACTCGAAGAAATCGTATAAAACAGTAACGGTTAATCAAAACACCGAACGTCGCCTAAACTATACGATCTATCCGAGATTCTTCGTTAAGATTATAAAAAACGCGTTTTTAATAAAAAAACGTCGAGAGAATCGTAAAAAAACGGCATCGGATCAGGAAACGGTCTCGTTAAAGTCGTAAAACGGTTTTTATCATAAAACGGCCCGAAAGGTCTTAAAACACGATAAAAACCCATCTCGCGACGTTAACGAAATCAAACCCAAAGATACGATAACGCTTTGACGGTCTACTCGCAGACGGAAGATAAAAGGCAAGTTTGAAGATAAATAGAAGATTTCCGCAGAAGAAAAGGAAGGATCAACAGATATGGAAAGTTCCCGAAATATTCGGTTTCGAGCAAAATGGAAAGACTAAAACCGCCTAAGGAGGAGTATATAAGGAGGAGGCATAGGGCAGAAGCTGAGGGACGAAAATCCAGAGCTCTCATCAGAGACTTTCACAACTTTTCTAGATTTAGAATTTTCCGCACTTAGAAACTTAGGCTTTTCCTCGACAAGTTCGGTTTCTATGACTGGCGCTCAATTACTAGACGAACTCGCCCAGGCAGTTCGATCTCTTGTCCACCTCTATCAACTGAACTACGTTCGACTTGATCCCCGAAAGGGGTACGTAGGCAGCCTTTCATAAGGTTCAGTCCGAAATCATTCAAACCTTTTTTCCTATCTTTTTCCGTTTTTCGTTATCAAGCTGCGACTCGACTAGATCTAGGGTTTTATGTTTGTAACTCGCTGATGGCCCCTGCGGCCAAAGCCTTTGTAATTCCNCAGCCTTTCATAAGGTTCAGTCCGAAATCATTCAAACCTTTTTTCCTATCTTTTTCCGTTTTTCGTTATCAAGCTGCGACTCGACTAGATCTAGGGTTTTATGTTTGTAACTCGCTGATGGCCCCTGCGGCCAAAGCCTTTGTAATTCCTTGTAATGATCGCAATGCTCTTACGCGAATCGGAAATAAGATCGACTTTCTTTATAAATTCGTTTTATTATGTTTTTCATATTTTTTCGCATTTATTTGGTTACTTGTCGTTGGCTTTCGCAGAGATCCGGTTCCTCTGGAAAAGTAGGGTTTTCCTAAGTTTCCTTATTTAACGGAAATCGACAAGTGTGATTTTTGGTTCCCACATTGTTGCTGGTGATTATAAAATGGATGGTTGGCGTAGGTTGAGACTCTGTCTTATAATAATCGTGGATGGTGTTTTGGTGAGGACTTCGCAGAATCCTAGGCCGAGTTTGAAGTATGTTATGCTAGTGGAGGATTTGAGGAAGTTTTTCGCATTTCCTTGGGGGAGAGAGTCCTATCTGTGGACAATTAGTACCATGAAGCCTGGGCCTAAGATTCTTGATAAGGTTGAAGATCCTGTTGGGGAGTTCGTTAAGCGTATGATGCAGGAGACAACGAAAATGGTTGGGTTCCCCCTAGCGCTACAGCTTGTGGCTTATGAGTGCATCCCTGGTTTGCTTGGTCGTTTGTCTGGTGACGACAGTGTGAAGTTGAAGGACTACAAGAAGTCCATTTTACCAAAGCACGCGGGGTTGAACATAATCGACATCCGTAACGCTGAGCACGATCCAGAGGTATACTCGACTCCACAATAGTTCTGTATGTAGGCGTCTAGTGTGATGAAAATGTTATAATTTAACATGTGGACATTTGAGTGGTTAGTTGTATTGGATGTTCATGTGGACACCGAACTTGATGTTTCTGCTGTACACCTAATGGGCGTAAGCATATGTGGTTGCTAGTTTTATACCCATGTACACCATGGTGGTGTCCACATGTACATACTCTTGACAATTGGGGGCGTTTTTATGTGGATATGATCTTTGAGGAGTTGTATTTTTTTTTTTGGAATGCTTTACGCGTGTACAACAGTTAGTGTGCGGGTGTCTAGTTTAGTGAATGATGATTCTGTGTATAGTAGAGAAAGCAGTAAATTCGATGTACATGTGGACACCACCATGGTGTACATGTGTACAATGAGTTGATTGAGGTATGGTCGGTACATGTGGACAACAATTTAGGTGTACGTATGGATATAGATTGATTTCTTTGTATGACATTCGCTATCTTGCTAATTGGGGGTTTAATTGTAACTTTTTCTGGCTTTTTTGTAGCTAAAAGTGCAACCCATGCTTGAGCTTGCAACCATGGGTGGGGAAGAGTGGATACCTTTCGACGACGAGAGGATGAATCATGAGGTTGCTTACATGGCAGGGGAGATGAAAAAAGGTAGGGTATTCCGCAAGACTGACTGGGGTGGAGGTGACATGCACGTGGACCTTTATGTTCACGGCGGTGTTAAGAAGAAAAAGAGAAGGGTGAGTGAAAGGGTCGATGGTGTGGAGTGTGACGGAGAGGGGCCTTCCATGAATCAAGGAGGAGATGGTCAATCGGGTGGCAATGCGGAAAGGCCCGTAGATATTGTTGTGGCCCGCCTGACTTCGGAGGTTGAAGCGTTGAAGAAGGAGGTTATTTTTGTTGAAGAAGACTATTAAGTTACTTGTTCGGCGAGTTGGTCGCAGAAGGGGTAGGAGACGTGATTATGTGAGGAAACAGGGTGGAGGTTCTCAACAGGGGTATGGAGTTGCTGACGATGGTGGTGAAGATTGTGGCGGGCAGCATTTTGGGGGAAGCACTAACAACCAGGTTGACGGTGATGGGTCGGAGGAGATGCTTGTGAGGGAAGAGGAAATAGTAGCTCAGAAAAGTGGCGCTGTTGACAGTTTCTCGTCGGATGAGGCACCACGGTTGTTAGTTAGGATGAAGGAAGGAGACAGGATCCCTCTGCAGTGGGCGGATGGTGGTCGGCCGGGTTTGGACGGTAATGTTTTATATGACGGCACGACTAGCAACACCTACTTCGTTGCTGATAGTCAGGTAGGTTTAGGCGGTGTTGGTCCATTGGGTGTGCTAGCCAATGTTAACCCACTTAGTTACGTTGATGAGCAGGATAGTAGCTTTGTAGACGATGATACAAGTGGCGGCAGTCCCGGAAACTGTTTAACAGTGGAGGTGATTTTTTATTTTTATTTTTTGGCTCTATGAATCGTGTCTGTTTACGTAATTGTTTCCTATATTAAATTCATTACCATTCTTTCAGGATGCTGAGAGGTTGGATGTTTTGGTGGAGGGGTTCACTGGGACGTCTGAAGCTACGGTACATTTCGTTATATCCCGCGTGGAATAAATTTATACGTCCGTGAAAGAGTGTTGTATGTCCGCAGGTGAACGAGAGTGGACCTGACATGTTCGCAGCTGGTGGCAAAACGTACGTGGATTTCAGGGTCTTGCAGGAACAACCATCAACTAATGTAGTAGACGGGGCGGAGGATGCGGTGACACCGCATGATCACCAGGTTTTTTATAAGTTTGTTTTAATTGACTGTTTGGTTAAATGTTGTTTCTGTGTACACCTATAATGGTGTGTGGATATTGTTTTTTTTAGAGGGTCGATAGTGATACCATGAATCCGAAGGAGACCAGCATTGGGGGAGATGATAAGAGCGAGGCTGGAGCTGTTGATGAGAGTGAGGCTGGACCTGTTGGAGAGCAAGTATGAATTTCTTGTACACCCTTTTATTGTCCACCTGGACACTAATAGCGTTTGGTGTACATCTTTTTCTATTGTGCACCTTGACACTATTAATGGGTTGTGGATTTTGTTTCTTTTAGAGGGTTGATTGTGATACCAAGACTCCGAAGGAGACCAGCGTTGGGGGAGATGATGAGAGCGAGGCTGCAGCTGTTGATGAGCGTGAGGCTGGACCTGTTGGAGATCAAGTATGAATTTGTTGGACACCCTTTTTATTGTCCACCTGTACACTAATAATGTGTGGTTGACACCTTTTTTATTGTCCACCATGATACTATTATTTGGTAGATGAGTGCTCCGGTTGAGTGTTTATTTCCAGGTTATTGACACAGGATTTGTGTTTTGTAGGTTACTGTGAGCAAACCTGAAAGTTGCTTGGAAACCTGTGAAGCTAGCGAAAAGGATCCGGTACAGGTTTATGTCCGTATTGTTGTTAGGGTTAGTGTTTTTTTAGGTAATTGTCCTCCCGACTGAATATATGGGTTTGGACTGATGTTCTTGCAGGTATATGTCCGTATTTGTTGTTAGGGTTAGTGGACATATTTTTCTATTGTCCACCTGGACACTAACAGTGTGTGGTGTACACCTTTTTCTACCACCTGGACAGTTGTTTGATTCTGTTTTGGTGAACATCTGTACACATCATTTTGCACTGACGTGTACACCGCCTTTATATCTTGACAGGTTGGTTTGGATGTTAGCGGACGTAGTTGTGAGTCCACTGTCAATGTTGGGCGGAGTGTGTTTATTGCGCCGCGCAGACCGGGTGAGCAGGAAGCCAACTTGGCGGCCTTGTTCCTAACCAAAGACCCTTACGTAATACCGGAAATTGTTCCTTCAGTGGAAGACTGTGATTACCCAGCCTTTATAAAGGTTTTGGAGTCCACACAGGAAGCGTGAGTTTGGTTGGTTAGCTTTTTAGTTGTGTTTGCTTGTAATAGAACCAAATGTTAATTGATGAGTTATTTGTGATCTTGATGACAGGGTTCATGCAAAGGCAGGAGGCAAACACGACCTGAACAATAAGTTCTTCATTGAACTAGCAACTTCTCAGGAATTGTTGTCTGATAAGGTAAATTCGATGAAGCTCTCATCGTTTATTTTTTTTCTTTTCGTTGAAAAGCCTGACCCATTTTGTATTGGGATGAATGTTTCTGGAACAGCATATGGAGGTGTTGATGAAGTTCATTGAGAAGAGACATGGAGGGCCTGTTTTGATGAATCAGGGTATGTTCGTGCCGCCATGGTTTGCCTGTCACTTGCAAGGGAGAGCGAGATCCTTTAAGGCGGCTAATGATAAGACTGTAGTTGTGGCGGATGCAGGGGTAACGAAATATCTGACTATGAAGAATATGACATGGGGTGTGGAGGTGGATAGGCTTTATACGCCAATGAAGTGGGGTGAAAGTCATTGGGTAGGATTGTGCATTAGTTTATCGGAGTGGAGAGTATTGGTGTTTGACCCAAACCCATGTTTGAATTCAGAGGAAGAAGTTGGTGAGTTGTTGGCAGATACGTCTAGGATTCTTCCGTACATTGCCCGTAAGGTGAGCCCCACGGTTGATGCCGGCGAGCATGAGTTTGCTCCGTTCTTGATTGAGAGGGTGGTTGCAGGTGTTTACGAGAACGGGCGGGGTGGAGATTGTGTGCCTTTGGCTGCTAAACTCATGGAGATGCATGCGAATGGTATGGATGTTAGAAACTCGGGCCTGAATGATGAGGTTGTCGACATCATTAGGAAGCAGTATGCTATGGATCTGTACAAGGGATGGGTTGTGCGTTTGTACGTTTGATGGTGTTTGAGTGGGGATGTTGAAAGACAATCTTTTTCAGTGTGTCGGATATTGTAAGGTGTTTAGGGTTGGATTTATTTTGTTAAGTTCTGACTTAAGTGTTGGATGTATTTTGTTAACTTAAGACCTAATGTGTATAAACGATGTAGGAACGTTTGAAACTCTATAAAAAAAAATTTTTTGTTTGTCCTTACTTCTGGAGAACCGGCCATGCGAACATAGGTGAAAAATATTTAAAATCCATAACCTAGCGTAAAAACAGTGTCCATTGTACATAAGTTGTGTACGGGGCTAAGGGGTGTTGGTATTTTAGTGGATATTTCTCGAAGTTAGTGTACAACTTGAATGATTGTATACATACCAATCTGTCGTCTACGCATCCAAAACATTCTGCGCAATCGGTCGTGTATATTGTAAAAATACCTACTTGTATGGCCGTGTACAAATACCTATCAATAAATTTTGAATGATAGTGTACAGATGGACGAAGGGTTGTTCACAGGTGGACCAAGGGATGGTGTCCACAATACGGAGTCTCTGACTTTTACCGACCCTTCGTCCATATGTACACTATCAAAGTGTACACGTCCATATGGATTGTACACACTACTACATGGTACACGATATGTCAAGGCAGAGACTACCACTCGTGAAAAGGCATGTTTTTGGGTGCCTGGAAATATTGATGGATGTGTCTAGTGGAGAAAATGATGTTTGTCTTTACAATATTGTTTGTTTACTATGTTTGGCTGCACAGTGTCACGTACTGTGTGTGTACTGTGTATGTTAAGCTTGGAATTGTGTATGTAAAGCTGTGTATACACATGGCACTGACACATTTACACAATGTACACTGGGATATCCTTATAGACATGTACACAGAAGTATCCACATGTACACTGGGGTATCCTCATAGACCATCTACGTGGACAGTATTAAGCGTGTACACACTTATGTATCCACATGAACACATTACGTGGACAAGTGTATACTTCCGGGTACAACTAGACACCGACGTTTACATACACAATACGTGTCCATGCAATGGGCATCAAAAATTGGCTTTGTACACATTGTGTAAATGTGTACATGCCGATCCAAAGGTTGAACAAGCCTCGTTTCTGGTTTTCAAAATTTACTAGGTATTGAATACCATGACATATTAAGCGTGTACAAACTTATGTATCCACGTGAACACATAACCTGGACACGCTCAATGGACTCCTTGACTCAATGGACGCCTTGTCGATACTTTCGTGTACATGTGGATACTTCTGTGAACCTGTGGAGACTCCAGTGCACATGTGGATACTTCCGTGTATAACTAGGCACCTAGTTTACATACACAAGCAGGTGTCCAAGCCGTGGACATCAGTATTGAGTTGTACACATTGTCTAGTGGAGAAAATGATGTTTGTCTTTTCAATATTGTTTGTTTACTATGTTTGGATGCACAGTGTCACGTACTGTTTGTGGACTATGTATGTTAAGCTTGGAATTGTGTATGTAAAGCTGTGTATACACATGGCACTGACACATTTACACAATGTACACTGGGATATCCTTATAGACATGTACATGTCTAGTATCCACATGGTCACGTACTGTGTGTGTACTTTGTATGTTAAGCTTGAAATTGTGTATGTAAAGCTGTGTATACACATGGCACTGACACATTTACACAATGTACACTGGGGTATCCTAGTAGACATGTACATGTCTAGTATCCACATGTACACTGGGGTATCCTCATAGACCATCTACGTGGACATATTAAGCGTGTACACACTTATGTATCCACGAGTACACACTTATGTATCCACATGCACACATTACCCTTTCATCAGTATGTGTACAACTTATTGGGTATCACCCTTTTATCAGTAAGTGTCTATGTGGATACTCCAGTGTACAAGTGTACACTTCCGTGTACAACTAGAAACCAAAGTTTACATACACAATACGTGTCCATGCAATGGGTATCAAAATATTGGCTTTGTACACATTTTGTAAAATGTGTACATAGACCATCGACGTGGACAGTATTAAGCGTGTACACACTGATGCATCCACGTGTACAAACTTATGTATCCACATGAACAAATTACCTGGACAAGTGTATACTTCCGTGTACAACTAGACACCGACGTTTACATGCACAATACGTGTCCATGCAATGGGCATCAAATATTGGCTTTGTACACATTGTGTAAATGTGTACATGCCGATCCAAAGGTTGAACAAGCCTCGTTTCTGGTTTTCAAAATTTACTAGGTATTGAATACCATGACATATTAAGCGTGTACAAACTTATGTATCCACGTGAACACATAACCTGGACACGCTCAATGGACTCATTGACTCAATGGACGCCTTGTCGATTCTTCCATCAGTGTACATGTGGATACTTCAGTGAACATGGGGTATCCTCATAGACCATCTACGTGAACATATTAAGCGTGTACACACCTATGTATCCACGTGTACACACTTATGTACCCACATGAACACATAACCTGTATTGCTGTTGAAGAAGCCTCGTTTCTGAATTTCAAAAGGGACATAGGTGTGTACACACTTAATGGACTCCTTTACTACCATGACATATTAAGCGTGTACACACTTATGTATCCACGTGAACACATTACCTGTACACGCTCAATGGACTCCTTGACTCAGTGGACACCTTGTCGATACTTTCCTGTACATGTGGATACTGCAGTGAACATGCGGATACTCCAGTGCACATGTGGATACTTCCATGTACAACTAGGCACCTAGTTTACATACACAAACAGGTGTCCAAGCCGTGGACATCAGTATTGAGTTGTACACATTGGGACATGAAAAGGCATGTTTTTGTATTGTGGGTTCCTGGAAATATTGATGGATGTGTCTAGTGGAGAAAATGATGTTTGTCTTTACAATATTGTTTGTTTAAATATGTTTGGATGCACTGTGCCACGTAATGTGTGTGTACTGTGTATGTAAAGCTGTGTATACACATGGAACTGACACATTTACACAATGTACGATGGGATATCCTTATAGACATGTACACGGAAGTATCCACATGTACACTGGGTATCCTCATAGACCATCTACGTGGACATATTATGAGTGTACACACTTATGTTGTACACACTTATGTATGCACGTGTACACACTTATGTATCCACATGAACACATAACCTGTATTGTTGTTGAAGAAGCCTCGTTTCTGAATTTCAAAAGGGACATAGGTGTGTACACGCTTAATGGACTCCTTTACTACATCCAAAGTATCGACGTGGGTACATGACCACGTGAGTATCCTCATGGTCACGTATTGTGTGTGTACTTTGTATGTTAAGCTTGAAATTGTGTATGTAAAGCTGTGTATACACATGACACTGACACATTTACACAATGTACACTGGGGTATCCTTGTAGACATGTACACGTCTAGTATCCACATGTACAGTGGGGTATCCTCATTGACCATCTACGTGGACATATTAAGCGTGTACACACTTATGTATCCACGAGTACACACTTATGTATCCACATGCACACATTACCCTTTTATAAGTATGTGTACAACTTATTGGGTATCACCCTTTTATCAGTAAGTGTCTATGTGGATACTCCAGTGTACAAGTGTATACTTCCGTGTACAACTAGACAGCGAAGTTTACATAGACAATACGTGTCCATGCAATGGGCATCAAATATTAGCTTTGTACACATTTCGTAAATGTGTACATGCCTATCCAAAGGTTGAACAAGCCTCGTTTCTGGTTTTCAGAATTTACTAGGTATTGAATACCATGACATATTAAGCGTGTACACACTTATGTATCCACGTGAACACATTACCTGTACACGATCAATGGACTCCTTGACTCAATGGACGCCTTGTCGTTACTTCCGTGTACACTTCAGTGCACATGTGGATACTCCAGTGCACATGTGGATACTTCCGTGTACAACTAGGAACCTAGTTTACATACAAAAATAGGTGTCCAAGCCGTGGACATCAGTATTGAGTTGTACACATTGGAACATGTACACGTCGTACCGAAAATATCATGTATCGACATATGTATCAACGTGTACACATCTATGTATCCAAGTGGGTACATGACCTGCCTTGTTGCTGTACACCTGGCCAACACTGTCCTCCTATTCAACACATTAGCTTATATAGAAGACTGAATATAGAAGATTGAATAGCCAAGCAGAAGGTCTATGATGGTAATGCAGCGTCTGCTTCACAGCCATTACATGTTTAAATATGGGTTTTAACATGATCTTACAACCAAAAAAGATTAACACAAAAGGGCTGTTATAAAGGTGAAGGCACTATCCAAAAGCAGAATCCCGTGGATATAGGATTCACCTAGCAGGTCAGATGGGAACGACACAGTTGGTCCTGTTGTGTCCCGAGACACCACAACGACCACATTTGTTTACTTTTGTCTTCTTAGGTACCTTTAAAAAGTAAATAAGCATTAATACTTGGAAGTGTATGTTGTTAACTAAAGATGGTGTACGTGTATATTGATACCTGAATTTCTCCAGTTGACGGGATGCGCTTGTCCTTGGGGCGGCCAGAGGGGCGACGGGTATAGGGAGGATAGAGAGTGAGCCTATCAATTGCTGGAGGTATGGGGAGTTCACCGACTGGTGCTTCAGGGTATATGACACTAGAGTAGGTTTTGATCCATGACTGAGTTTTGTAGTCGTCTCCAACAAACTGGGCATATGAGAACCCTATTGAATCAGCCGCCAGCATCGCGTGGCCACAAGGGATTTTAAGTTTCTGAAAAACATGGCAGGTATAAACTTTGGTGTCTAGGTAAACGGTGTTCCCGTGACCGAAAATGCCTTTTACCTGAAACTGCCAGTCGGTGATGTTATTTATTTTACTACTTTTGGTGAGCCTGATGTGTGTCTGCATAACAGCTTCAACCTCAGGGGTGACTGAACCCCTGTGCTTGGCAGACTTGGTTCTTCTGGCAGAAAACCATCGAGTCAACATGCGTTGGATGAACATGAAGGGCTCAACAATTGGTGAATCTTTGGATTTGGTTAAGGCGTTGTTAAGCTGCTCTGTGACGTTGCTTGTAAGGAGGTTGTATCGGTTTCC